ATATTTACTGTTACTGGATCTATCAGGGGACAACATTGCCACCCTTCATTACTGGATTTTTATGAAAGAATAAACATATTACACTGAAAGAAATGAGACAAACATTGTGCTCTGTAATTTTTCCAACACCCACTTTATTCCCTTAGTTTCCTCTGAAATCTCTTTTCAACATGAGCATATCATTACTGATAATCCTGTTAGACTAAATATACTTCATGCATGACAATCTCTTCAGTGTCTCACTTCTATCTGGGATTTCTTCATCAGAATACACCTGAAACTTAATTTCATTTCATATCTTAAAAGAATGTTCCATTTTTAACATTCTTCATCTAATATCAAACACTACTTTTCTCCTTGATTTTTTTCCAAAAAAACTTTGACTAAACAAAAAAATAAGGTTTTTGTTTTGTTTGTTTGTTTTTAAGTGAAATGTATGGAGTTTACTAAATTTTAGACTGAATGTTAAGTGTTTTATGCATATACAGGCACATTTGACTAGTAAAACATTATTTGAAAAAGGTCCTAATAGGAAGAAATTATGCTCATCATTATTGGAGATACAAATGAAGTTAGGATGAAGAGATATGACAGTCTTTTTTTTTTTGTTGGTCAAAAAATCAGGTAAGATACATAATTTCTTCTTTGGAATTTTTGTGCATTTTGAAGTGCTAGAGTTGTTACTATGTTCTTTTATTTTCACATTACTGTTTTACAAAACTTTACAGTTCGCGGAAATTCAACTGCTCATTTGTTTTGCAGGCTTTTCTGTTAAGAAAACGGTTCTTCAGGATAAGTAACAGCAGGAACTGTATTTTTACTATTTGTGAAGTACCACTTCCTTGCCAGAACAGATTGAACTTCAAAGCCTGACTAAAAGCACCATACATAGTTTATTTATTTGGAAGATATAAAAAATAAAAGCCAGACCTGGGGTTGCTACAATGGTATTTCAAATAAACTATAGTGACAGCCAAGTATTTGTCAAAGGCTGAATACGCTTTTCATCAGCCAAACTATTACTCTGTTCCTGAAGTTAGTAATTGATTGCTAACTTAACTGCTTTATTGCTGCTCAAACTGTCACACTGTATCCAGAGCACAGAAAAAAAGTACTCATATTTATGGATCTATTCCATCTTTTTATTTTCTTTAATAAGCAGTGTTTTTAATGGTTGCTTAATCAAAAATTCTAGTCAGACTCTTTTAATTGGTTTTTGACCTACATTCTATTATAGACCTGATTAACAATTCCCTAATCAAAGCTGAAAAACATTCTTCTTTGTGTTCAATAATTTAGAGATCCGTGTGGGAGCTGTATTGTTGCTCTTAGTCTCAATGTGAATTTAGTTCATTCTATGCATGTAGTCTTGAGATTCATTTGAGCAAAAATAATTTCAAACTCAAAAAAAACGCCTAATACATCCAAAAATGCAATCAGTTTCTAAAATGTACTTCTTCATTGTTAAGGATACCTACAAATTCAATCACCATGTATTTTGCTAATTAACAAAATGGTATATTTGTTTTACGAGAAGCTCCTAGGACTAAGTCTTAGGATGATTACTTTGAACCGTGTGTCCAGACTGCTTTTGAGGCTCTCAAGTTCTAACAGGCAGGTTTAGGAAGGACATTCCCATTCGTGAACAAGGCACAGAAGATGACAAATAGCCCTCTCTTTAGCATCCTCCTTCCCTAGTGCCAGGAAAACAAGAGCAAGGTTTGGAAATATTTCCTGACCACAAAATGCTGCAGCATTGTAATTAAAGGTTTTTAGGGCCAAAGGTCTGCTTAAATCCCACTGGCCTGTAAATCACATCATTCCTGTAGCCTCCAGAAAACAAGAGAGTGATGTGAACAGCTTAAAGACCGCACAGTCTTTTCCCAGAGAAACAGATGCCCTATCACAGAGGGTGTAGCTTACAGTGCAGGTGAAGAGAAAGGAGGAAGCCTGGAAAGCAACTCACTGATCTTAGAGGCCTTGGTGACTTCTGCCCTATTGTGTACTTCTTGGTCATCCTGAAACTCTTCCTAAATCAGGGACCCTACCATGACAAGAGCCTCTTGCTTTCCCTCCAGCCTTTTTCCTTTGCCCTTAATCCACACAGAAAATTGTTGTCTGGTTTCAGAAGTGCTTTATGTTTAGGGAATTCTTTCAGAAAGCATCTCAGTTGTCTTGCTGTTTATGCTCTCTTCAGTATACACACAGACAAGCACTATATATCTGATCACTGTCCTCTTGGTGATTCATTCAAACAGTTGAACAAGGACTTTTACAGCTTACTGGGAAAAAACTCCAAACTGTGTTGTAGCTCAAACTGTCCCTCAGCGTATTGACAAGTAAAGAATTTGGAGGAAAACATGGTAGTGCAGCCAAAACTTTCATCAAAAACTGCATGCGCAGGGCTAAACCCAAGGTATTTAATCTAATTTGCTGATGACTTTAGCTGCCTGGTGAGTTAAAGCAATACTTAAACCTTAGAATTACTTAATGAGCATTCTAAGACTATGGATGAGGGAACAAGTTCACTTGTTGATAATCCTGTGACGTATTCTTCACAGCCAGGGAATTTTATGTATCAGAATAGACTTTTTAAGGAATAGAAAATCTACCTTACATGCATATTCAGTCTGATACCTGATGCTTTGTCAGGTAGTTTTTCCTCAGGGAACTATGTTGAAATCCATTATAAATATTCATCTTCTGACAGGTCTGCAGATAAATTAATACAATCGAGTAGGTAATTCCTCTTTTTCAAGAATCAGACACACTATATTCATCACCAAGAAGATACAAAAGAGGCATATTTTTATATGCCTCGTGAATAGTGCATGAAAAGCAACACAATGTGATTGAAGTTCTTTTAAACAGGTACTAGGACAGCAGATGAAAGCTGAAGTGATTTTGTGTCCTACATTGGGTTATAGTCTTAATTTTCTGCAGAGTTTAAAAGTGTAATGAGTTTATTCTCATTATGTACTTTTGTACACAAACATACACATCTACTGTCATGAAAATGCATTTGGTCCTTAGTGTTATTTCCCTACACTGTGACAGGAGAAAAATTTTTCACATTTTTAACAAAATTAAAAATCACATCTTGTGTGGCTACAGGGATTCTGATGGTATTTATAGAATTAACAGGGATAAAAAATAAATATAATATGAAATTCAGAATCAATCTTAAACTCAGAAGAAAGATTACACTAATAAAATTTAGACTTTATCAGGTAGGCATTATCAACACAATGGTTATCATGATGTTGTTTGAATGTTTATACTAAAATCCCCAAATTGCATACAAATGATAGAAACTGTCAGAGAAGACAAGTGAAAAACTCAGCTTGAAATGTTCTTTTATGTCAAGGTCATAAAAGCTACCCATTTATGCACCGTATTCACTATGTCTACAATAAATTAGATGCCATATAATTTAATCTAAAACACACATTATGATTTCTGAAGCTAATGAAGGATCTGGGAAAAAAAACTTCAGAGAGTACACACAAAAATTGCCAAGAAATCACTAGGGGTCTTAAACTACAGAAGGAAGTGAACTGTAATTGCTTAAAATCTTTATGTAAATGTTTAGCTAAAATAAATGATAGAGACTATAAGCTCAAAGGACATTCCTGCCTATTGGGTTTAAAGGCAGGTTTAGATGCCAACTGAGCAGGGTATGATCACTTTGGAATAGCAACTGTAGTGATACATTCTATTCAATTACATACTGAGAAAACACTTATTCCAATATGTGTCAAGTTTCAGTCAATGTGTGTCAAGTTTCAAGCAGAGTATAACCTTCCATAGAAGAAAGTTTCAAAATTTTCAGACTATATAAACATAAAAAAGGAACTAAAAATATGTGTCAACAAGAAAGATGAGCATCTGAATTTCACCGTGGAATATGACTTTATGAGGTTAAATGTGGAATATTTTGTGGGTGAAAAAAGACAAACAAAAAATCAACAACAAAAAACCCCCACCAAACTCCAAAACAAAAACAACAGAAAAAGATACTTGTTTTCTTATCATTGTGCTAAAATAACCATACTCCCATTCCTTATGTATTATTTTATGAGCACCTCAGTCATAGAACATTCAGAATTTTAAAAGATTAGCTACTGGTAGAATGAATACATTAAGCAGAGAATATATATCCTCATCTCCTCATCTGGATTACAATAGATTCTTTATTCTTCCTCAGTACTCTAAATTTAAAGTGAATATTGTAACAAAGTGATGGCAAATTTGTAGAGAGGTAATGAGTTGTCATCTATTCCTGACCCTATTTTGGAAGTATATTACTGTCTTTATAGATGGAGAGATGACAGAAAAGAAAAAGATTAGGTAGGTATAGTATAACACAGATCATCCCATCTTTAGGCAGAATCACCACTTGCAGCCATCACTGCATTACCTTTGTGAGGACGGATGTTACCAGTATTGATCAATGTTGAAATTATAGAGATATTTCATTGGGTTCTCCAAGAGCTCAATATCTAATATTATTCCTCTGTTTTACCCCGAAAAATAGTGGATTTTGTAAGTAATGGCATTCTTGGTAGTATTTATGTCAGAAATGGTACAAACTCATCTAAAGCTCAGAGATGGTTCCAAGCCTTATCAGTTAGAGATATCAACCCCAGAGCTTCTGAAAAACGACAGCCAAGAATTCACCTCTTATAACTTAGACAGTGCGGCTTAATATCCCTGGCTGAGATGGTAAAATGACATCCTAAATTGCCATACTCCATCTGCTTCCAGAGAGTGGGACATTTTACAGTGGAAATATGTGTAGATCATAGAAAAATGGAATGATTTGGGTTGGAAAGAACCCTAAAGATCATCTAGTTCCGACTCTCCTGTCATAGGCAGGGAAACCTTCCACTAATTTAATCACAATGATAGGTTCCATTCTAAACACCTCTCTCAGTTTAAAACCACTGCCCCAGTCAAGCAGGGGTACTTGTCTTTCTCATCCTACGGCCCCTAGAGCTGGACACAGTACTCCAGCTGTGTTCTCACAAGAGCAGAGTAGAAAAGAATCACCTCCCTCAACCTGCTGGCTAAGCATATGATTTGTTCTCTGGGCTGTGAGCGCACACTGCTGGCTCATACTCAGTTTTTAATCCATTAATACCTCCAAGTCTTTCTCCTCAGGATTTCTGTCAGTTCACTCATCACTCATCTTGTATCCATGTTTGTGACTCTCTACTCCAGGTGCAGGACTTTGCACTTGGCCTTATTGAACCCCATGAAGTTTGCACAGGCCCACCTCTCAAGTCTGTCAAGCTCCTTAAAGACATCCCATCCCTCCAGCATGTCAACCACACCACACAGCTTGGTGTCATCAGCAAACTTACTGAGGGGATCCTCTATCCCACTGTCTGTTTCCCCAACAAAGCTGTTAAAATAATAAAAAAAAAATAAATATTTCTATGTGCTGGGATTTATAGTAAGTATGAGGTCTACTATTGTGATAAAACCTTTACCTTTCTTCATTTTTTTTTTCAGAGGCATAAAACATTCTTTGCTCTTTACTTTCTGCTCCTCTTCAGGCATTCAAAATCTGTTTTGTAGATTTCCTCTTTTAAAAAAAATAATTGAAGTTTATTCTAAATGAGAGAAATCTAAGCTTAAGAATTCTGGATATAAGAGTTCATTTAGTACTTGAAACTCAGGTGACAGGTCTTTGGAAATCAGTGTTTGAATAGAAATAATATTGAAATGTATTAGAAAAGTAGTTCTTGGGGAAGCAAAAATACTTTGTTGATGTTTTTACAATCAATAACTGGACTTTCACAAAAACTGAGGAAAACAAAATATTTACTGCTCAGTCCAGCTATATCAGTTTTTCCCTGGTACAGTAATTCCTATTAATTTAGCAAGAAAAGCTGTCAAATTTCATGTAAGTATAGAAATGAAGAATACAAAATCCTTTATCTTTAATATAAGTTTTTTTGGACTGTTCTTTAGTTTCAACTATTTCACACTAACTACATTTTCTTAACTCCCAATAGTCCAGATGGAACACCTCATACCAGTGGGATGAAATTGAACATGGAGTCTCTCTGCAAAAATCTTTTCTGCTTGGAGTTGGTAGGTACTACATTTTTCATAAATCACATAGAGGCCATACTAATTTTTTCCCCCCATGCTTCAAATATTTTTCCACACAGTTTACATATCTTTAAAAAGAAGACATCATGTATTATGTGTTTAACTGAGAATAAAAAATAGAAAGAGATACCATCAAACTTCTGGACTAACAATCTATAGTTCGATAAAGAGCATATTGGATTTAGTTTAATGGCACAATAAGAACATTTCCCACAGACATGTCACAGTTTATATCATCGAGTGGTGTATAATATATCAGAAGTGTAAATGGTAAAATAATCGTGAGAAATTTACCTTATCAATTTAATTAATGTTATATATATTTTTAATAGCAGATTCAACAGTTGTGGAAAAACCACTTATATTAAGAGAATTTGGGTGCATTGTAAAGCTCCTCTGCACACCCAAGTACAATTACTTGTGATTAAAAAAAAAAGTATTAGATAACTGTTGTTCAAAATTGGTATATTATCTTCTTAAAATTGCTAAACACTAGCTCTGTGACCAATTTTATGTCTTCAAAGCTGATATATATGAGTTAATATCAGGATACTCTTCTTAATTTTGACTATTATGTCAGTAAATAAGAAAGGTATACTTTCTTGTACAGTTTCAGAAAATGTTCCCTTTTTTAATGTTAGTTCATGTCAACTTTTTGAGACTAAGATATGAGTCCTCCATGTGTACTACACAGGCAAGTGGAAAAACGTCCAAAGCAATGTCTTGCCTAATTAAAGTTGATAATAAGAAGTATATTTTAACTGTTGTGAAACTAGTGAACTAGTGAAGAAACATGGGTTATGAAGGTTACTTCTTTAAACATTAAAAGCTGTTCAATTTCAAATTTTATTGACATTTGATCATAAAACACATTAACAGGTGGACTGTTATAGAACTCAGAACATACCTCATTGCAATATGCAATGGTATCTTCAGTAATACATTCCACAACAGAAACACCTCTGAATGTCAGAAAGCTTCACATTCAGTGAGTTTTTAATGGACAGATGTATTTTACAGTAAATTTTTCCATTTATTGAGAGAACTGCCTATGGATTGTGGGCAGAAGCTAAAGTGGGAACACAACTCACAGAAAGACATACATATACTTGCTGCAGAAAAGGAAAAAGTCTTCAAAATTTTTCACACAGAAACGACCTCTCTTCTCCCCTTCCACCCAGGTAGGTATAATGAATTTAGCCTAGTTAGCCTAACTGTTAGCAAAAAGCAGTGTAACAACTCTTTTTTAGTAGAGGTAAACAAAATATAACAATCCATCTGTTCCGAACAACAGAATATTTGAGTTCAATGAGATAGATAGCCAAACTATAAAAGCAACCTGCTGATCATCAAGTGCAAACATGTCTTGGACTATCCAGAACAAGCAGACTGACACAACACTGACTGCAATTTGGAAAAAGAGTGCGATTTGATCAGACTAATCATCAATGAGATATTTTCTACCCAGCTCTATAAATGAGGACAATCAAGAGTAGTCGGAGATGCCAGAGGAGGATATTCCAGCAGGACCCAGAAAAAGAAGATCCTGTGAAACTGAAGGGAACCTGTGACTGTGCAACAGGATTTGGGACCATGACCATGACTCCAACACCTCAGACCCTGTGGCCCAGTCCAAGAAATGCACATCACATGGCTGGGACTGCTGTGCTACATGAACATTGAGTAATTCATAAAGTTACATATATCTATGATTAAAGTATTTTGGTATCCACGTGCATTCAGTATCCACACTGTGATTTGGTCTTAAATCACAAGAATTGGGTTTCCATTGCCTTCTTTTTTTTTTTTACACTAATGAGAAAATCAAATGGGAATTTTAATTAGCAATGGTTCAAGATTTTCTGCTTTCCTGTTACATTAAGAAACATATCCATTACGTTTTAGAGAGCTGCTGCTCTTTAGAGGCTGAAGGAGTGAGACTGAGTAGGGTCAGAGTATGCAGAACTACCTGCTCACTAGAACACTCCTCTGAGTGCAGCTTCTGCACCTCATCTGTGTTACAAGCAGTTGCCAGTACACAGCCTTAACCTTGTAGAAAACGCCCTAGCATCCTACTCAGGACTAGGTGTTTTCTGTCACCCAGCATTTCTCCTGGGCCTCTTGTGGGCTTGAGATATAGTAATTATTCTGGGTACTTCTCCACATGTTCTGTTGCTCTGGAGAGCAGTGTAATGAAGCCTGCCAAGCTAGGTTTTACTGCATGAAATGGAGGACAACAGGTTTAATTCTTTGAAAGCTGAAAATGGAAACAGTACATGTTTCTGAAACACCTGTTTTTCTTTTTCAATTTCTTAATTAAGGTACAAAACTTGTCTGGAGTAGAAAACTTCAACTGAAGAAACTGCCTTCTCCAAGAACAGAGCAAGATCTTTGATGAGAAATATTTTGACCTGATTAGACAGGTAGAAAAGCATCTATTTAAATTTTCAATAAGGGACGCACCCACTGATAATGGAGGTGACTTAATTTTTTTTTTTATTTCCCTCCTACTCCTTACCATCTATGTATACAACAAAAAAAAGAAGTTCTAGTTTAGAGAACAGTGGTCCAGTAAAAATGCAAATGAAAGCTTATGCCAAATGTGCAAATACTCTGTCCTGATCTTTGAAGCATATTACCAACTTGTTATGAGAACTCACTGTGTGAACTTGAGCTTGCTACCAGGTGTCTCTTGTTATGATGTCAGGTTTAAACACAGGATAATAGCAAGTGCCTTGAAAACTTATTTGAAAGCAGAGGACTTAGACCTACAAACAACCCATAGATGGCCAATTAATTACTGGTCATTGAAGAAGTACAACATTGACAGTGAGGAAAACACTGCTTTCAGCATACTAAAGAAAAGAAACAAGTAAGCAAGAAAAAATAGCTGAGCAACAGGGCAAGGCATCTACCTATGAAAGTAACACCCTCACTGCATTGCAGTCTAGTGGGCAGAGACTAAAGGCTAAAACTGCCAAGAAGTACAAACATTGTATAAAATGACAGGATTTGGAATGGGGTATGGAGACAGAAGTATTTATCATAGGAATTGTTCCTGCAGAATTGATGTGAGATCATTGGAATAGTGAGGGAGCTGTCTTCTTTTGCTGCCTGCTCCAAGAGCAGCAGCTCTCCCTCTCTCTGCCTGTTGCAGGAACCATTCATTCTTTTGACCTGCTGTCATGGTTTGAGATACCCCAAAATCCAATTCCCTAGCTACATTCCCCCTCCCACATCTCAACTCAGTGAGAGATGATTCTTTCCAGACAAAACACACGGACTCAAAATGGGGAAATGGAATATATTACAATGACTGTACAAATAAATATTATATACATTACACACGAGCTCAACTATCTCTACCATGACATAAGTATTTACAATGGATCAAATCTCTTCTCCTCTCCAAATAAAAGTCCAGGAGGGAAGAAGGACAGATCCCTTCCACATTTAGAGCAGCAGCTCTCTCTTCTTTTCTTGCATGTATTGGCTGTGGCTGGATTTCTGCCAGCACTCACGAGGGGGTATCCCCCTCGGCCCCTTGACGCAGGCAAAGGGGTCTTCCGTGGGCTACGTCACCCCAGACAAAGGTCGTTCCACCACAGTCATATCACGAGCCCAGGGGGTCTTCATGACAGTCTGGTATCTTCAGGGAATTCAGGTTCCTTGCAGAGCCTCTGTGCCCTGCTTCAAGATGGCTGCGAGCTTCTTTGTAGCTTGCAGCAATGGAGGGCCTCAAGGTCGACCTCCACACACCTTCCTGGCTAAGCTCTCAGGACGACTGAGCTTCTTAGCTCCTTTACTCCATCTAGGACTTCTAATCAGTAAGAGCCCACCCCCTCCATTTTGGAGGGATCTCAAAGGAGTCTGGGGACTTTTGGTTCAGTTCTTACCCCAACTCTCTCTATAGAACTAGTTCTGCTCTCATCTGCTGCTGTTGGCTCTCTCTTGGCTCTCTGTCTCCTTCCAGGAGTCCTCTCTGCAGTGCATACCATTTGCTGTTTAGTTCAGTTCTTATCTGTCCTGGCTCTCTACCACCTTCTCCGGCCAGTGTTGCTTCTACTGCCGCTGTTGCTGTTCTGTCTCTGCTGCCCACGGTGGAGAAAACATCTCCCAGCATAGCTACAGGCACCTAGCCCAGCTTTATGCTGTTCCAGATCCCTGCAGCTCCCCCAGCCCGGGGCTGGGGGGGCCCCAGAGGCCCCAAGGGCTCAGAGCCCCTTTCCTCGTGGTGTCAGAACATGGCTACCACTTCTATTACCCAAAACTACAACTCTTCTCTTCCGGTCTGGTCATGGTATGTTTATATTTCACAGGAGCGCAGATTGGTTCAAAGCTCAAGTGCCACCACCCCTTGGGGGCTACCACCTTTTTTTAGCCTCTGGGGGAAAACCTGTTTCAAACCATTACACCTGCTAAGGCTGTTGTCCAGGATTGTGCATGGAAGGGTGTGGGAGGGTGTGCATGTGCATTCACGTGTGTGTGTATCTCCTTCCCTGCAATTTCTATGTATTTCTTCTCTGTAACACTAACTTGCTAGTAAAGCCTTATTCTACATAAACAGTTCTATTGTTTCCTCCCCTACCCTTTACCTTACTCTGTTCTCTTCATGTATCCTAATATCATATAGTTGTAGAGTGCCTAGACTATTTTATAACCCAGAACACATATTTTTTTGAATCCTAGCACCAGTCAAAATATTCTACGTGCTGTGTGCCAGGAACGTGTTAGGAATAGGTGACTGTATGTATATCTGTCAGTCAGTTTGGTATTTTCTAATCAGTGGTCTAGTAATGTGTGTAACTACTATCCTAATCTTTGTCCTTGCTCCATTAATTTGAAAAATAATTACTTATTCTGTCACTTATGGAAGTTTGTTCCCTCCCTGGGGCCTAGGAAGATAATGCCTCATAAAGGTTACGACACCTTGATACACTTTATAGAATCATAGAATCATAGAATCAAGAAGGTTGAAAAAGACCTCCGAAATCAAGTCCAACCTTTTATCCAACACTGCTGTGGTTAGTAGACCATAGCACTAAGTGCCACTTCCAGTCTCATCTTAAAAACCTCCAAGGACGGTGAATCCACCACCTCCCTGGGCAGCCCATTCCAGTGTCTGATTACCCTCTTTTTAAAAAATTTCTTCCTAATATTCAACCCAAATGTCCCCTGGCAGAGCTTAAGACCATGTCCTCTTCTCCTGCTACTGGTTGCCTGGCAAAAGAGACCAATACCCCCCGGCTACAACCTCCTTTCAGGTAGTTGTAGAGAGTGATGTGGTCTCCCCTGAGCCTCCTCTTCTCCAGGCTCAACAACCCCAGCTCCCTCTGCTTCTCCTCATAGGACTTGTGCTCCTGTCCCTTCACCAGCCTTGTTGCTCTTCTTGGACCTGCTTCAGCATCTCAATATCCTTCCTGAACTGAGGGGCCCAGAACCGGACACAGTACTCCAGGTGAGGCCTCACCAGCGCTGAGGACAGGGGCAGAATCACTTCCCTGGTCCTGCTGGCCACACTGTTCCTGATCCAGGCCAGGATGCCACTGACCTTCTTGGCCACCTGGGCACACTGCTGGCTCATGTTCAGTTTCCTGTCAATCCAAACTACCAGGTCCCTTTCTGCTCTCCAGTCACTCTGTCCCCAGCCTGTAGCGCTGCCTGGGGTTGTTGTGGCCAAAGT